ATGATGGTGATGATGATGATGATGATAGTTATAATGATGATGATGATAGTAAAGGTGATAATGGCGATGATGATGGTGAAGATGGCGTTGATGATGATGAAGATGATGATAGTAAAGGTAATGATGGTGATGATGATGATGATAGTTATAATGATGATGATGATGATAGTAAAGGTGATAATGGCGATGATGATGGTGAAGATGGCGTTGATGATGATGAAGATGATGATAGTAAAGCTGATGATGGTAATGATGGTGATGATGATGGTGATGATATTAAAAATGATGATGATGATGATGATAGTAATGATGATGATGGTGATGATGATATTAAAAATGATGATGGTGATGATGATGATAATAGTAATGAAGATGATGGTGGTGATGTTGGTGATGGTGATTATGATGATAGTGAAAATGATGGTGGTGGAGGTGATAATGCCAGTGATGATAAAATGGTGATGACGATGATCGATTTGCTCATGATAGTGCCGATTAAAAGAATTACATAGTGATTTTTTTCTATCTAGGGGTCAAACACTCTGTGACATTTTACTTAAGTCTATTAAACCAAAGTGTATGATCAAGACCTCTTTAGCTTGGACATTGTTTTCGGATTTCAGATCAGGTGTCCTTCCGTTGAGAATAAGATTCTTCGTTCGAGTTATACTCATTGTATTCATGCGTCTTCTCATTGCAACCGTTAACAAAGAAATAATATACTAGCGAATGGCACGTGGTCTGAAATGGGTAAAATATTACGCCCCAGCTAACAATGATTTACTCGAGAACAATGTGCTGTGTCTTTTTTAGTCCTCAGACAACAAGCAGAAAAGTAGTTCTGAAAACTCCAAGAGACGTAGTTCAAGGTACTTTTTAACTGTAGACCGTTTTCTCAAGGTTGCGTGCGCATCCAACTTRACGGRCCACAAAACTGAAAAACGCAAATTCAGTAAAATTGAGAAGACAGTTTTATATTTAAAGAGGAGAATAATCGATTTGATAAATTTTCATTGAAAAATTCTAATAGAAATATATGATAATTCTCATTATAAAGCTCCTGTTCTGGTATTGTGGCCCTGAATTTCCTTAAATTTGGATGCGCACGCAACCTTGAGAAAAGGTCTATTCACTCTAATAATACATAGGAGATATTACATGGGCGCGCGGAGATACGAAAATTATCTTCGAGTGTTAAAAAGATCGCTCACGAGTGAGCGCAGCACAGAAGTGAGAGATTTTCAACACGAGAAGATAAATTTCGTATCTCCGCGCGCCCATGTAATATTCTGTTTATYATATAATTATCCATAAAATCAACTTAACAAGCTTTTTATTATCAAAAAAAGTTTTTATTTATAAACTAATAGCTTAAATACACATGGTAACGATATTTTCACATGTGAAAATAACATGCTATTTTCACATGTGAAAATATCAGTTTTTCGAAAAGGAGAAATATAGGTATTTTATGGATAATTATATGATRRTRTAATATACTGCACAGAAAATCATTCTCATACTTATTCACATTATTATTGGTGCTATTCAATATTCATATTTGATATTTAATGCTCCCATTTCGAGTTCGCCTTTGTTCAGTCTTAGCCTCGATTGTGTACGAATGTGTTCGGTTTTTTTAATTAAGGTCCATTGTATAGTAAGCAATGTGCGTACTACGGTACAATACGAGTTGATAAAAATGCCACGAGTTTTGGTTGAATAGCTGAATATTATAAAGCACAAACAAGACTAAGACTGAGCAAAGAGAACTCGAAACTAGAGTATCATAAACAAAAAAACCGGCCAGAGAGTTTAATGGTTATAAAACTCTAGCATTGCCTAACTTATTCACATAATTTTACTTACTATCATTATCATCATCACCATCATCATCATCGACACCATTATTATCATCATTACCATCATCATCATCATCATCATTAATATTACTCTGAATATTAATATTTGAAAATTGATTTTAGACGAATAACCGACCGTATAATTTAATGTTTATAAAACTGGTTGTAGAAAATAAAATAAAAAATAATGGGGTTCTTATATAGCGCATTATCACATTGTCTCAATGCGCTTTACATTGCAGTGGAGGACTTTACGGGCTGCATATTAAGGCGCTATTAGCAGCCGTGCAGCTTACAATCATGAGTGATTTATTAGTACGTTAGTGTTATGCCTCCAAATTGGGGTAGAGTGGACTCATCAGTTCTCTATGAAAATCTAGCATTATCTTAATTATTCTCACTGTTACAAATTTTTTCTCCAGACATCGTAAACAGCGTGGTGAGATCAACCTTACCGTCAATTCCAATCAGACGCTCAGGGATATTAAACTAGAGGTAAATGATACTATTTAACAATAGCTGTTATTACAGTTGATTTTCACGTTCTGATTACGTGCACTTGTTTATTTTCACGATTATAGTCACGTGCAACTTATTTCCCGACCCACGATCGGGATACATTTAGATTTAGCTAGTGTCACGTGGTCATCTTTCAACCAATGAGGGTGTTCGTTATATCGGAAAATTTCGTAGCTATATAACAATAGCTATTATTACAGTTGAGCCCGCAATGACGTAATCTTTTGTTTTAAGAATCATACAAGAGATGCTATCGGGTAGATACAATACTTGTTGTCTCATTTACTTCTCATCTGCATGCATACATAATAACTGTATTATTCGCCGATGGCTTCGGTTATATCATAAGCAGGAAGCCATCGGCACTAAATACAGTCCTTTTCATATTGGTCCTGCTAAAACTCTAGCTTTATTGATTGGTGAAAATTCATAATCACCGAGCCTGAGGTCAATAATTGTTTTAGTGTGAAATTAGAATGAAATATCAGAGAAAATACACAATTCAGGATTAAAAGAAAAAAATATTATTACTTCCACTTTGCTGATTTTACGACCAGTGAATATCGTCATATAATCGCTGGCTGCTCGACCAATCACAGCGCGCGAAACTCTATATTCAAGTCTAAAAGACATATTAAAACCATATCTCAGTTCCATACTGAGACTTTCTATGTAAAAAAGCTAATGTTTTAGTGGACTTTAAGGGCCACCCCGAAAAGAATTAGCTAAATAGAAAATTTATTTTAAAAATGATACCGTTTTAATAGGGGCCACGTAAATAAAATCATGTTGGGAACGGATCATACATCCTCTCCCTCCCCTCCTGCTCGTAAAAAAACGAACAGTCCCAAGTCATACAGTCTACACTTGCTAGACTGAAAGGTTACACCGTAATGCAATCGTTTGATGTCTTTTCTTAGCTTTTCCGCTGTATTTTTGTATTCCCTTTTTTTGTATTCATGTTTTCGCKTTTTTTCTTGATATATATCATCTTTATTGTCTGCCGACTTCATCTTTCGTTAATGGACTTTAAACAAGCAGAGTATTTAGTTTAGTTAAGATTTACGCTGCTACGGCGCTGTCTCACCGATGTGTAGCTCAACCCTTGAACGCGGGTTCGATTCTCGACAGAACCACATATTTGAGTTGAGTTTGTTCTAAGATAGTAAAAAGTAATTTTTTGGAACTCCTCAAACTTGAAATTGGACAAAATAATAACATAATGAATGATAAATTGGGATTAAATAATAATTGTAATAATAATTGGCTTTCACCATTTTTCCTTTCTATTTTTCTTTCTCTCCTTAAAATTCATCATGTAAGTCGAGTGTCGTTTGCATTAAATAATACATTTAATACAGTAGAGCTCTTCACGAGAAGCGATGTTTAGTGTTGGGTAGATGATTTCACTGACTCCTTTTAAGATTCGCTTAATATAATACTTATCATCGGGATATCTAGAAAAAACTTTACCAAGTGTTTATTAGAACCTTTCAAACTATTCCAGTAAAGTTTTAACCCAAATAAAATTTCAGACGATTTTCCTTGACAATTAGAAAGACCCCATTTAATGATTCGTTGTGTTGTAGCTGATGAAGTCGTTTTCAGTAATGCCAATGGACCAACATCTCAGTCTGAAGAGCACCCCCCTGACTGATGACGCTGCGACTCTCAGTCGATTGGGAGTTCGACCTGGATGTTTGTTAATGCTTAAGGTAAGAACAACTAGCACAACCATTCCAGTGGGGGGGGGGGGGGCATAAATTTCATAGGGTAGGAATGATTCATGGCTCTAGTCTGTAATCCCAGAGATATTTAATTTGGTATGGTTTTACAATGCATTTACGGGAAAGAAAAGGTGTGAGACTTTTAACATAAGCTGATGATCTTGGTTGGTTTTTGCTTTGTTATTTCATTCCAAATTCGTGGGTGTTTACCATTTAAAACAATTTATCCGGTTGCAAATTCGTTTGCTAATGGCAAGAACTCAAAAGGGGAAAATTTTGACTTCCGACAAATGGTACACGCGTCTATACCGGAAGAACCAAAAAGAGCGGGAAAAGTAGATTACTTCCTACAAATGGTATACGCGTCTACCGGAAGAACCAAAAAGAGCGGGAAAAGTAGATTACTTCCTACAAATGGTACACGCGTCTACCGGAAGAACCAAAAAGAGCGGGAAAAGTTTATTTCCTCATTTATCGTAATTCTCCAATTGGAATAAAAAAATTTTTTTTTTCCTTTTTGTTGTTGTGGTTGTTTTTTCCTTAATGGTAGGGACCCCGTTATTCTCTTCTTCTCCATTTCCCTTTCAATTTTCATTTCTCCATTTCCTATTTCCATTTCCCAATTGAAAGGGAGACTAAATTGTCATGCTAAACGTATATTATAATATTTTGATAGTAGTAAATCATTGAGACACTGAGCCAGACCTTGAGCTTTCATTGTTATTGTTAAATCCGAGTAGACGAATTTTCACCAACGCATAATATTTTGAATATTTCGTAGTTGGATCAACCACAAGGTGGTGGACATCCTGAAACTCTCTTAGCGGCATCTACTGCTCCAGAAAAGGGATTTCAAGGTACGAAATTAGACTAAGATAATATATAAACACCCACAGAAATGCTGGGACACCTGTTATGACGTTGAATTTACGAATATTGAATACTGCACAGTGAATTCCTCTATTTCATAATGACGCCACAGTTTGTTTACATCGGCTAAAATGATAGAAACTTAGGCTAAATTTAAGCTTAATTCTCTTCTTTCTAGATATTTAGCGTAATATTTAGTTGTTCTTGCCTCCCCCTCCAGCGACCATGATCGCTAGCGTTTAAAACAATTAATAGTTTATTTTGATGTGACGTCATTATGAAATAGAGCAATTACAGCTCGAGTCGTCGTGGTAAATTATGCTGTTTAACCTATTGTAGCCAGTCCGTCTCTATTTTGTAGAAATACAGAATACCCTTTTTACTTTGCATATATAGTGAATATCAGCTCGAGGCATCGCGGTAAATCGTAACGAGAGTCTTTTAGAAGCCAAAACCAGGTTAAACCAACATATGTTTAACCTAAACACATCTCTTTTTGCAAAAATATCGAATACTTTTCTTTACTTTGCATAGTGAAACTATCTTATAAAGGCCATGGTAAACTAACTTATTTTTCCTATAATTATATATGTTATTATATATGTTGCAGCCAATATAACTCTCGTTTTTGTATAAATTCAAAATTACTTTCTACTTCTTTTTCTTCCCAAAAATTAAATTGCGCAATTAAAGTGCCTATGACCCCTAACTCAATGTTTTCACCATTGATTCTACATGAAGTTAAAAGTTAAATAGTAAAATATTTTTATATGATTTGAGTGATGCATCTTGGAGATATCAAGGTTTATACTTCCAGTATGCTAATGAGTGTGATGTCATAGTAGGCATTATTAAATATACGAAAATTTACTGGGGTAGTAAACCTGTATAAAACATAATTATCTTACTCAGGGTTTATAGAAAGGTTATTGCCAATTTGTTTCCTCATTGTAATCAGTGTTTTGATCTAAAAATGATGACAAATAAACCCAAATGCCTCCTATGACACCACACTCATTAGCATACTGGAAGTATAAACCTTGATATCTTCAAGATGCATCACTCAAATCATATGTATATATTTCTACTATTTAACTTTTAATTTCAYGTAGAATCAATGGTGAAAACATTGAGTTAGGGGTCATAGGCACTTTAACTCTGTAGTATTCATTAAAGTGCCTATCACCCTTCTGACAATATTTACAGTATTGATTCTACATGGGGTAAGATGTCGAATAACCTGAAAAAAATTCATAGTTTGAGTGCAGCTTCTTGAAGTTATGAAGGTTTTTCTATGCCATATGCTAATGCGATGACGTATGAGGAGGCATTTATAGTTATTTGTTGTTCCTTGTAATTCGAAACACCAGCTTCTATGTGAAAACTAACTTGCAATAATTTCTATAAGAGCAATGGGAAAAACAATGACGTATTTCAAATTTAATTTATCTGTGTCAGTAAGGTTTTGTATGTTAAATGATTACTTCTCATACGTCACAACATTAGCATATGGCATGGAAAAACCTTTATAACTTCAAGAAGCCGCACTCAAACTATGAAATATTTTGGGGTTATTCCACATCTTACCCCATGTAGAATCACTACTGTGAATATTGTCAGAAGGGTATAGGCACTTTAAGCCTGGGTTTTTTGTTGTTTTTTTTTTTGAAAAACCTTTTATTTATTTTACCTTTCTCCCCTGAAGGAACTGTGCTTCTAGGTCACTGAATCCAAGGTCACCATATAGCTTATATTTATTACTATTACGCAAGATTCAACAGTATATCAGATCTGCCCAAAATATAGACGAAACGGGCTGCAAACCTGCCACAGAAACACTGGAACATTTTAACTAGAGTACATGATTTGTTCTAGTGCAATTGAGAGAATTTGTCAATGTATAGTTACTAGAATGTATATCTGTATAAAAAAGTGAAATTGTATTAAAAGCAAGATAATTTGGATGGTATAACTTGTTTTTGTTGTTTTTGTTTTTTTTTGTACGAAAAAATATTTTGGAGCGAAAGGGCTTTCGGAATAATTTTGCTGTAAAAAATATATTACGTTAGTTTCTCCTGCGCTATACATGCTTCCCTTACACTATATAGCTTTTCTTACACTACGTAGTTTCTCCTACACTATGCAGGCTTCCTTTATGCTAAATATGTTTTTCTTGCACTAAAAAGGCTTCCCTTGCACCGTATTGGTTTTGCCTTTGCTATATAGGTTTTCTTACACAACATAGGTTTCCCYCACACTCTACATGCTTCCCTTACGCTATATGGTTTTTCTTACACTACATGTTTCTCCAATACTATACAGACTTTCCTTACAACGCATCCACAGGTTTCTTGCACTATACAGGCTTCCCTTCACACTACATAGGTTTCTCCTGCACTATACATGCTTCCCTTACGCAATATATTTTCGTCTTACACTAAAAAGGTTTCTCCTACACTACACAGACTTTCTTTGCACAGCATCCACAGGTTTCTTGCACTATACAGGCTTGCCTTACACTACATAAGTTTCACTTACACTATAAAGGCTTTCCTTGCATAACAAAGGTTTCTCCTGCACTTCACATCACTATCAAAGCCTCGAAAAATGGCAAAATATACAATGAAACCGTTTATCTTTTTTTTTTCAGTTCAGCGTTTCCTCTGAAGATTTTCTTTATTTTTTAATATTGAATTGTTATCTTAAATACAACGTCGATTCATATAATTGATCCAACTCAATATAAATCAAAAAGTTGACCAAATATTTATTAACCCGTTGCTCAAAATCAAATATTTTACTTGCATCTAACTTAATTGCTCAACAAAAATTAGGTTTTGCGAGTGGGCTTGACAGATAAATTTACACTTAGCAAACGAAAAATAAAAATCTCAACAGACCGCGTTTGTTGTTTTGGCCCGCTTTTTTCACAGACGAAAGGGAAAAAATTAGAATCGATTTTGATATAAGATTTGATATCGATATAAACATAAATCAATTGTTCTAACATATAACTGGATAGAAACAGAAAAAAGCGAGTTTTTGAAGATTTGTATTCACAAAATAAAAGGAAAAATGAAAAAAATTGAAAATTCAAAAAATAGATACAAAATGAATTTAAGACTAGCTAATCTTTGCATTTATTGCAGCAATATTAGCAAATTCTCAGTTCTGAAAATCCCCAGTAAGTTTGATTCGCATGAAATTATTCAATCTCCAAGCAGGTGTTGTTATAGCTTGTGCTATTAGCTAACTTTAGTTTTCATATGCACTACTTTGACAATCATTTCCGAATSCTCTCTACTATTTCCTGTTCAAACTATTCCTCTTGCTAAACTAGCAGATTGCAAGCCGTTAGAATCGTAAATAACACGCCGATTTCCTCGATATAAAAGCTACTTCTCTTTAACAGGAAAATAAACATGGCACTTAGGAACTTAATATTGAATGTGTACCTTTGAAATCTTAACATCACAAAACCAACTCTATATCCTTATTATGATTTTTTACGTTTTTTTTTTTTTTTTTGCTTGAATCGAATAGTAATATTTTTAGCTTATACGAATTCATCTCCACCACTTGACCACAGTGATTGTGTCAAGACATTCTGACGTTAAAACACCGTGTTGTTTGCTTTGTGGATTTTTGGACCAGTCTCGATGTCTCTGATACCAACGTTTCCACTTCAGTGTTCGATGCTTCTTCCGGTACCCAATTGTCTCAAAAAAATACTTTTTTTCCGTAATCGAATGAATGCGAAGTAGATACGTCAGTAGACGCAGCATGGGTGCTTAATGCCGCTTCAACAGGTAGTATCTGATGAATAATTGTTGAGTTCCATCCACAAATAATGGCCAAAGTTCATATGATAACATGTAATTTTTACATGTTATGGAGCGATTGAGGTCCATATAAAGCAGGTGTGTGCTGCAGTATTGTTAGTAGCGAGGTCAAGAGCAACTAGACAAGCTGATCTACATCTCCATATCTTCATATTCGTCGATTGAATCGGTTTCACTATGCAAGGTGAGTGAGTAATCCTGATCTGAGCCATTTACATGTCCATAGAGTTTCATTTTCAATTGGTGAGATTTTCCTTCGCCTGTGAAAGAAAAATCAACGTAATATACATGAATAGACACAATTTCCAAAGATCTATTCTTTTTTTTAACTTTGGCTATTAGTCACTGATGTACGACTAAATAAAATCACTCTTGGTCGGACTCGAAATCATATCCACCTACTGCGGCCTTTACTTCACCCTACAATGCGCTATCAAATGTAATCTTTATTTTGCAGTTTCCATGATCGTTCTAATCGTTGCCTTTCTTCTGACCACCATGATACACCAAGGCGAACCACAGTCGAGAATCCAAAACACTTGCAGGGATAGATTCATGGGCTGTGGCAGTCGAACAGCTGCTAGAAAGTCCAACTGTTGTTCCACCGCCTGGCGTTTTTGCTTCCTCCATTCGCGATGGTGTCATCGACGCCAGTGTAGCAGTTTATACCGCAATTGTATGTGCGGTGCTGGATATCAACATTATTGCTAAAGAAATGTTAAATGTATACCTTGAGATGTTATAAAATTTAGTGGTGAAAGTCAAAGGAAATAAATGTCCAAGTTAATTCTGAAGGTATAGTAACTGGCTTTTACTTTGATAAGGACTGTATTAGTGGCTGCTAGAGGTGCCTTCACATGCTTCATTGCTGTACTTAAGTGGTAACTAGCGAAAAATAATTTTTGTGGTACCACATCCTTCCAGGACCTTTTCTGGTTTTTGCAGAATAGGTTTGTTATAGCACGAGCATGACGCAAATATTAGCAAAATAGATATGCAAGCGCAGTAGGATGAACGGAATTTTCCTTTGGGCTGAAGTCAGGGCACGGCTAATAGTCCATTGGCCAGGACCCCCAGTATTATAAGTGTGTACCAATGTAAAGGGACAAATAGGACGTTTGCATGATGGCGTCATTTGACTCCTACTACCACAATGTTTCGCGAATTTTCTTTCTTATTTAAATTTGTATTCCCTCATGAGAATAGTAAGACAATTGGTGCTAATTAACTGAACAAAAGAAAGTGTGCAAGAGAGTTTTGTAGTAGAGGTCAATGGCGCCATCGTGCAAATGTTCTATTATAACATGCATTTCTGGAAAAAGCAATTACAATTACCGAGTCCAGTAATCGAACCCGCCCAGAGGTGAGAGGCAGTACTGTTACTTAATTGGCCTTATTATTTTAACGCGATACGACGGATGATGTCACGATTTTTCATCAACAATTTCGTTGCCCGTTTTCAATTCGTGGAAAAACTACGGTTTTTTGACCTTATATTAATCTTCCTTTTAAAGTTTGTCCGCGTTATATCGATTCCACAAAGCTTGGCGATATCTATTTTTAGTAACCATGGAAACGCTATTTTACTATAGGAAGCCCAAGCAATTTACTCGTACCCTTATTACACAAAAGAATATATGTAGAATTGTTTTTCATTAGATAATATCCAAAGCATTTTTTGCCGCTTATTTTATAGATTTTTGCATGCGTGCTTTTTCTGCTGTTCTTTGTCTCTGTACGCAATAGGCTGCTCTCAATAGACGTCACTTCCGGTAATAGCTCTTTTTTAATGGCTTGTAGAATCCTGGAGGTTGTTTTGATCTCTTGTTTTCTGGTTTGATGTCGTAAAAATAGTCAAATACAATAGTTTGAGGACTTACTTTGATATGTTTTGACTTAGCATTCCCAAGTTGCCCCCCAGTCAACCGCTTGTTTGCTTCCCAGTCAACTCCAAAGTCACGTGATTGATAGTAAGCAATTTAGAGCCACTACGACGAGTTTTAGCATTTTTAAGGGCCCACCAATAACTACAAAACTTTTTTTAGATATTATTACGATATACGATAAAAAAACATACATTCCTTTGTAATAAAATACAACACAATTTGGCACAACACAAAGTCAATATCATCTGTTCAATTCAATTTATTTTCCTCGAGCGAATAACACTTTTATTTTAAAACTTCATATCAATTTTTAACACCAATTTTCTTCTATGAATACTAGCTTTTTATGCTATAATCTATGTAATGGTAGGTTTAACTAAATATTACTGTTTTATTGGATTATTCTGTGCACTTTTTCACACAATCATTCGCTACGTCTTCTCACAATACAAGATAAAAGATGAATACTAGCTTTTCATGCTATAATCAATGTAATGCCGGTTGGTTTAACTAGATATTACTGTTTCATTGGATTATTCTGTGCACTTTTTCACACAATCATTCGCTACGTCTTTTCACAATACAAGATAAAAGTCCTAGATACATGTTTCCAGCTTAAACTTCGACTCTGGTATCAACTATACTAGTTCCTTAACAAAATTAACATGACAGTAGACCGTAGACCTACTAAACGTTGCACTTATTTGTACAATTTTGTTAGTTAACTTTTTCATGGATATAATGTACGCACTCTAGTATGCATACCATATGCCCGTAAATTTTTTTTTCAAGGAACGCGCAAAAATTAGTAAGTTCAGTAGACCACGGTAGACTGTAGTGCTCCGTAGGTCTACAAAACTTCGACTAATTTGTACACTCTTGTTAGTTAACTTTTTCACAGACATAAGCACTCTAACTAAAGCTATTTGCATTTCCCTAAAATTTAACTTCTAAACATCTAAGGTAATTAGCAAAGATTCATTATACAAGAGATTATAGAGTATGGTGATTACTTCATGTGGGGGTATTTCCATGGGCCGGGGTTGGAAAGTGCTTCTTTTATGCTCATTCCCGATGTCCATCTCAGCAGATACATTAGTCCACCAGCTTTGTCATTAGTACCTGGGGAGAAATGGGACAAAAATGCGTTATTTGAGCCTGAATGTATTTTAGGCGAAGTTAAAACCGAGTCCAACCGGTCAGCGGTTTTGCCTAGCGACAGTGTGGGGAAGCCCATCGTGTTTCAGGGGTATTGGCAGGTTTTGTAGCGTGACAGCTTTGTCGTTGTGTTGTCGTTTGGCCAAGCACTTGTGAAAATATTTCTCCCTCCCACCCATCTCTCAGGAGGAATGTAGGACATGGTAAGTATCTCCACCGCGGTAGGTGTCACGGGTGCCAAGTGGGCGATGGACTTTGGCCCGACTACCATGGTCAACTTTGCGAACGGGCTGGTTAGGCGCGACTACCCCTCACACCCTGAATTTGAATTATTATTTAAAACCATCCATTTTATTACGGACAGAAGAAAAAAATGGGACTTTCAGAGCTTTACAGCGATTGTATTGTTGAAGCTGTGCATTCTTAACTTTACTGTTGGTATTTGCGAATATTTTGACGGTTAAATCTGGCTAACACTGATACTGCAGCTTGGTATGCAACATGCAAAAACTTTCATCAGCATTTAATGAAATTTCTGTACAATGTTAAAGTATGAATCAATACTCAATGGAAGGGGATATCAAATAATTGAAGGTAAAAATCCGAATATTGCTACTAATGAAAACAAAAAATTTAACAAATAACAGGCTTAGAACCGACGACCACCCCTGTTCTAATCCTACTAGTTTAGGCGTTTTTCCATTTGGATTTTCATATATTCATATGTATGAGAGAAGACCTCGGCACTTACCAGACATCCTAGCACCACCGAATGGCTGTTGTTGTACAATGGATCCAGTACACTTATCGTTGATATAAAAGTTACCAGCAGAGTCTCGCAGCATATCGCTTGCTTCTTTGATAAACTCTCTGCAAGAAATAAAACATCTTTCGTTTTGCTCTTCCGCCACGCACAGAATTGTTGTGAAACGGTTCAGGGATGAAACTCAAGACCCCAGAGGTGAGAGGCAAGTGCACTACCACTACACCACCCTTGATTCACTAATGTAAGTGATGTTCAGTCCAGGAATCAAACCTGAGACTAAAGAGGTGAGAGGTGAGTACACCACCACTACACCACCCTTGGTTCACTAATGTATGTGATGTTGAGTCCAGGAATCACACCCTAGACCCCAGAGGTGAGAGGTGAGTACACCACCACTACACCACCCTTGATTCACTAATGTAAGTGATGTTCAGTCCAGGAATCAAACCTGAGACCCAAGAGGTAAGAGGTGAGTACACCACCACTACACCACCCTTGGTTCACTAATGTAAGTGATGTTGAGTTCAGGAATCAATAGCTTTACAGGCTATACTAAAACAGAGCCCATCTATGAGAGAATCCCACTTACTTATCTTCTCCAAATATAGATCCTGTCAACCCAAACTCGTTCGTTGTGTCAACCTAAAATGACCATAAAATCATTACAAAAATATTCAGTTTTGCAATCTAAACTCATTACAAAAAAAGTTGTCAGAGGAAACAGCGAACAGCAAATGTACAACCCCCAAAAAAATTCTGTTTACACTTAACATAATTATGCAAACATTCGATTGACAATATTGATACACCAAGCATGAACATTTGTTTTTGACAGCCAAGATAAATACTAAATAAAGAAGACTATTGGCCCACAATTTCTTTAAGTCGTGCAACCGATATTCAATGTTCTCTCCGACCACCTTTTTCGAAATAAGTGCACATGAATACTGAAGTGCTAAGATGCTGTTACACGCAAAAAAAATAGTTGCAAGTTACAGAAAGTAGTTCTAATTCTCATCCAACAAAAGTGTGGAGAATTGAAGTTACTAGGTGCTTCATGCAATGCACAAGGAGTTTGTTCAACTTATGAAACTTTTTGCAAGAAAGGTAAAGAGATAGAGAAATCTGACAACCTTTATTACATGCACGGAAATTTGACTGAGATAATCTGGATTCATTTGTAGTCGAATAAAATGTGTTCTGATTAACCTAGCTCTGACTCAAAATGCGAACTGTTTGATACTTGCCACTTCCAACGTCTCTTTGTACTTGTTATCTGGATATACGTAGATGCATACCAAAGGTCCAAAGATTTCCTGTAAAAATGATGGAAAGTAATTTTTAAATACTTAACATTAGATCTAAGTAGATTTAACTGTGTGAGTATGGTAGGGCATGTGAAGGAAAAGGGAAGGAAAGGAAAAATGAGGAAGGGATTGGAAAGTAAAGAGAAAGGGGAAGGAACAATGTAGAAATGGAAAGAATGGGAAGGAGAAGAGAAGAGGAGAGCAGAGAAGAGGAGAGCAGAGCAGAGCAGAGCAGAGCAGAGCAGAGCAGAGCAGAGCAGAGCAGAGCAGAGCAGAGCAGAGCAGAGCAGAGCGAAGGATAAGAAAGGGACAGGAAAAGAAGGCAAGG